ATTTAAATTCACCAACTATCAATTCGATCGAGCTATTTATATAGTTTTTGTTTTGTGTAATTAATCCATGCATTTAAGTATTTTCCCCGCTGAATCATAAAATTATCACAAGCTTTCTATCTCTTTACTTGTACTGTGCTTCTTTCGATTTCGCATGTGTACGTCTCCCTACGCACACGAAAATGATAGCAATATTGACATCTTTGTAAATTTCCAATCGTATGTGCATCGTATGACTTAGAGAATTTATTTTTACGGAATATTTCGAGGAACATTGCATTTTTATATTTTGCATTCTTGGATAGGTGACTGGCATAAGTAAGCATGAAATATTTCAGTTCTTTAATATATGATGCAAGTATGCACTTTTTGCAAATTACGCAACTCAATGAAGAGTTTATTTTGAGTTTAAAATTAAAGAAAATTACAGTCATACACGTAAGTGATGCACTCTTCATATGTTAACGGATGGTACGTTTGATCCGCAAGGGCCCATTATCACAATTTTCAGTTTGGTCTTATTCCACTGTCAAATTTGAGATCAGATAAAAACTATTATTAATCATTAATCTTTTATAAAAAAGTAATGGTCTAAGTCGCGCCCAGTTGGCTGATGTTAAGCCATGCCGTAGCCTTTCTCATTTTACTCATCACAAGGAAAAGTCAATTCAAGGGGTAGAGTTTTTGGCAATCTTTCCTTGAGACTAAGTGCTTATGTAGACTGCAGCGACTTTCTTGGCTTAACGCTATTACTCGGAGAGAACAATTTATGATTGTAATTATTAGTAGTTTGAAAATTAGCAATTGGTAAATAATCTAAATTCATAAAAAATTAGTTAATATTCATTTTTTAATTTAGTGCAAATATCGAGCGGGTGAAGCTTGCTGAATGAGTCTAGTTATATTATGTTTAATTTCTAGTTATTTTATATATTAGTGTTAATTAAAGTATATTATACTTGTTATTACATATAAAAATATTGATGAACTATCAAACAATCACCAGACAAGCAAGTTTCATAAGATGACTGTCCTTCGACTCATGTTACCCTTAAATCATGAAACTGTTCACAACATCGCAGAAAAAGATCTGTTTGTTCGCGAAGATGAGTTTTCCAGCATAAAAGCGAAAAGACCATCACTCAAGAGCACTATGGAGGCTGGACTGCAGATATCAAGCGGAGACATCGATAAACACCGGCTACAAGAGAGGAGCTCTTTGGGATGCGCAATCCAGTAGATTAGCTTTGGGGTAATAAGAGATCAGTGTTTTCACCCGAAGCTTAAAGCTTCTCGCGTCCATTCTGCGAGTCGTGATCCTTGGTGCGCTGCTGCACAAATTCGTTTATATATGTACAGAGAGAGAGGTTTCTGTAGGATCATCGCTCTTTCTCCGTCTCTCGTGTCTGTTCCTACAAGCCACCCGCTCGCACACCCTTGCACACGTACATTTATATATTCGAGGCGTTGCTTTCGCGAAGGGAGTGGTATATAGCAGTAGAGGGACACTGCAGCAGCAGCAGCAATGAAAAGGAGAGAGTCCAGCACAAACGAGAGGAACGAGAGAGGAACGAGAGAGGAACGAGAGAATGCTGCACGTACGAGAGAGAGAGAGAGAGAGAGAGAGAGAGAAGAAGAGAAGATAGAGTAGAGAACAGAGTGAACGGTGGTGGCTGGCAGGCAGGCAGGCTGCTGCAGGCAAGAGACGAGGAGGAAGAGGCAAAAGAGAAACGGCGGCGGCGGCGGTGGACGCGCGAGGATGAGAATGTCCAGTGACGCTATATACGCACACACACAGGCCCGCGTGTGGGTATCGCCATGGCAACCAGACTGCAGCCAGTCTGCACAACCCTCCTCTTACCCTTCGCTTTCTCTTGCTTTATGTATACCATTGCCTGTGCGCTGCTGCTGCATCTCTCGAGCCTCCCCCCTTTAACAACTCGCGTGCAACTTTCTATATTCCTGCTGCTGCTGCGCTGCAGTTTCCACGATGCAACGAACGGCAGTGTGGTAGCGACGAGGCGCCCGAATTTCCGCGGATAAGAGAGCTAGCCAGCAGCAGCAGCAGCAGCAGCGGTGGCAAGCGCATGCATACATGGCACCAGCGCAGCCCTCCCGGGGTCGACTATATATCTCGCGCTGGGTGGCTCAGCTAAGTCACCCCTTTTTGAATCTATGCCTAATGACTGCTACAAGCGGCCGCCACCGACGAGACGCGCACACACGCTAACTCGTGTTATATTCGTTTACACACACACACACACGCACACACACACGTCGCATTTGTCCAGAGATGCATCGTGTATGCCTGAGTATCGTTTGGACACGATGACGAATGACCGAACGAGAGACGTAGACCGTTTATAAAGCAAAAGCTCGAAGGGGGTATGAGGTAAGCTTGCAGCCTGAAGGAAAACGTATATATAGCTACTGCTTTATATCGAATTAGTATATGTACAACAATCGACAGTGCTTATTAAATGACTTAAAAAGAGAACGACAAAGAGATTTCTATTCATAAGGCAGAGGTGGCTAATAATCGGAAACGCAGTTTTCTCTACAAGATGTTTTGATGATTCGTAGGGAATCAAGGATAGCTTTACTTATGATGATTTCAAAAATGAAAGATGTGGAGCATCTTAACAAGATATTTTATGAACGATGCAAAGTCGTCAGTATCGAAGAAATTGATGAGGCAGCCTAAATTGACTATCAATTGAGTTCACCATTATCTTAGAATTGTATAAATCATTTTACAAACGATTCTACATATTATGCATATATCCTTGTAAAATGATAGCATTAACATTTGATCGATCCATACCAGTATGATGCTTCAGGACTCACATCCAAGCAACGATAATCCAGCAATTTTTTCATTCTTTCAAGTTAAGTGGTTTTGCAGATATTAAAAATACGCAACTAAAGAATATCTTATCGTCGGCAGCGTACATATGTGCATTACAATCCACGCTCTATATGATTAACCGATAAAAAAAAACTTTATGATGTTCGTGAATACATTGCCGCACACGCGAACTGTCGCGCTGATCTAAGATTGAAATAGTGCTCGCACAATTGTATATAAGTGTATGCACCATATACACATCGAATAAAGCTTCTTCGAAAGCGTCAATTTTAAAGCTTGTCTGATGATAAATTATTCAGAACATGACACTCATTACTCTTCATCATTAACTTGAGTGTCCTTGGACGTCACGCGCACGTATGCAAAGAACGAGGGCATCTTTGTAACTATTAAATTTATTCAAATATCTGACTGTGCTATTATCCAGATGGAACATAAGCACGATAAGTTTGCATTTAGCCCTTCGACCCGTGCATACATATAAATGTATGTAAGATACGTACATGAACCGAGTAGATTTTTCACCGTATTTGCTCAAAAATTCTCCGACAAAGATATACAATGTCTGATACACCACTAAGCAGTGATCGCTATCGCGCGAGGCACGTTTTGCATTTACACACATATGAGATAGCATGTCGCGTAGAAGAAGAATATTACATTGTATGAATTATTATTTTCTATTCATACGACGTATGTAGCTAAGGGAGTTAATTTTCAAATCAATATATAATTCAAAAATGCACATAAATAAGAGGATTATTATTCCGATTATTTCTAAACAAATAATTCAAATTACCTAATCACTTGCACTCTGAACTAAATTTAACGACATGATTTTTAAACGTAAACTATGTAGTAATATTCTACTCATCGGTTATGTAAATTATTAAATAGAAATAAAGTAATCTGGCTTAATCTTAGTGATATTACGCATAATTTGAAATCTTATCTCGGGAAACCAATTTCACACAGACGTCATTTATCTGCAGTTTATGCTTCAGGGTTATCGATCAGTTCACTGTAATGCAAGAAGTTAAATAAATATTTTAATTTGCCGGTTTGCGAAATCTTGACATTTGAGTTTTATTTTTGAATATACGAGCTATGACAGCATTCTGATGCTAAACATAATGGAAAATAAATATTATTCATCTGTAAGACAACCAGATTTAAATTCAAAAATGTAGTGGAAGTTGAGTTTAAATAGTAAGTGGACATTCAAAAATGATTCCTTCTTCGTATTGAAACGCAGATTTTACTGATAATCAGAGAAACCTTATTCGTAAATTAAGTCTTATTTGGTGCATGTGCGTTGAAGTTGTAAATGTAGCAACAGATTTTTCGCTGCGCAGAAATACACCAGCAGCTAAAACATGAGTTTTTTGACAGCAAGAAAACAACAAACGTTTGCTCTCTTTATCTCTCACCAGCTTTTTCTCGTCCACAAAAAACAAAGAGGTTCTGTCAATTCGGGGTTTGCAGACCTCAGCACATTGCCTACATGTGCCCTGCGGCTTATGCGCTATCTATATACTTTTTCCGTACGTACATACATTTTTCGTGTATATTGCTGCACTGCTCGCGCAATTGCGTCATCTCTTAGCTCACTTCACGTGTCTCCGAAAAACGTTGTCGTGTAATGTTTGTTTATTTGACGAAAGTTGCTTTATTTTTCAACTTTCATGTACATGCTCGCCCCTAGCAAAAGGAGGATAAGTTTGAGGGATGAATCTCTTTAACCACGTCTGCAGATTTAAGAAGCACAATCAGCTCACAGGCTCGGCTTTGCCACTTCAACGAGCCTTAGACTTTTCCTTATATATGTGTCATCATATCACGATGGCCTGTGAACTCACTCATCTGGCGAGAAAACATCTTATCAAGAAGTCGAATCAACGGATTTTCCCACTTTTTTCCTCACGCATTTTTTACATATTATAAATTTTATTTTATTATTTTGTTTTGATATATTATATTTACTAGACTGAAAATAACACCATTTACAGTCAAAAACATAAACTATTTAAAAATATACGCATGCGTAGCAGGCTCTATCGTCATTAAAAAATTAATAATGCCAATAAAAGATGAATTTTGTTTTTTAGACAAGAAATAATTTTAAAGAAAATTTGAATCTCTTCAAATGTATTTATTTGTACTAAGTTGAACACGAAGATATAACTTTTCATTTCGCTTTTTATAAATCGAAATATCATCATTTAAAAATCGAATAGATCTTTCGTTGCAATTCACGTTTTCAGATCTTGTATAATGAGATTCACACAATTACAAAAATAAAATTAAACTTAAAAATTACTTCTTGATTTCACATTCATTTGTTGTCTGGTCCACGGCGCCCAAGGATCTTTTCCCGTTGCGCTAAAAGTTCCTCTTTGGTAATTTGAATTTGACATCTTTGTGCGAAACGATTGCAGGCCATTTGCTTCACTGGGCAGCAATCGGCTACAGACACACACTAGAATATTCGAATACGCAATAATTAAAATATAGCCAAATAAGTTTTGGAGGTCATGGTCATTTTTTAATAGTGCTTAATACTTTTTGAAATTTCTAAAACTTTCAAGTTTTCTCTAATTTTAATTAGAATGTTGCGTATTACAGAAAAATAGGAATTATACTTGTTACTCACGGGATCACCATGGCGACCACATTTTTTATCAGATGTGGCTGCAGAAGTTACTATCACCACCAAGCAGATAGTCAACAAAAATGTTAATAATTTAGTCATTTTATCTATCTGAAAATAAACATAATGGTATAAGTTATCAATGTAAGTTTTCACTACGACATTTTTTATACATTGACTTTACATGAAATTAAATTTTAAAATACTCAAATCTTTTACTATACGGCAATAAATTATTTTTTAAAAATAAATTATTTAAACGCTATTGAACCAAATTTATTTATTTTTCAGTGAATGAACCAATAATATTTTTTAATCACATCTTGTACTGTAATCAACATCAAAATAAATTTGATTGAAACTTAATTGAGCACAAGTTATACAATTTCACTGTTTATTCGCAATCGCAAATGAAATACACTAGCATTAAAGAAAATCAAATAGATTAATGATTCTTACTTTAACTTTGTAAGTTATACAAATTCACTCTACGAGAAGCTATAGGATACAATCACTTCGAGCGCTCGCACACAACTGAGTCTTTTAAAGAGAGAGTCTCCGTTTATATGACTCATTGAAGAATCGTGGGTTTTAGTCTTCATAATAATTTTACATGCACTTGAACACAATCTGACTCTTTGTTATTCCGGTCAAGTTTCGTGAAATTCCCATTTTCAGCGCGAGTACGTGACTGACCCGTATGTTATTGTTTTAAAATGAAAAATTGCTGATCTCACAATTTTTTTGTTTCAAATGAATTAGGTTTTTTTAAATTGCGCAATAATTTTCTCCAAGAAAGGACTTTAGAAACTCAAGGTCATTTCTGTGCTTTTACTAAAAAATATAAAGAATAAGATGTTTTTACTTGAACGTCGATTCATGGATGTTACTTAAATCTTTTCCAAAGAAATTATTATTTTTTGGTAAAAATCAAGTGTTTTTCAAATCAAGGCTCTCTTGAGGCTATTTTTCTCAACCGACTATTTGTGCATAGCATTCTCAAAATTCTTAGGATTAATATTTACCTATTTATTGTTGTATAAATAATTTTAGATTAAATCAATGACAAACAGATAAGTTCTTTTTTCTAAAAAAGGAAAATAAGACGATATCACGAGCCGTTATGTTTACCAATGCGAATACATAAAAAGTCGCAAAACTCTTGCACCAAACATCAGTTACTTCAACGTTCTGGTAAAACGACGAAAAACTTAGTGAAAAGTGAGTGTTTGTGTTGCACAAAATAATTACAAAAAATATTGAGAATTACTATTCCATTTCAAAAGAATTGTATAGTTTTAATAAAAAAACTATATGAATTACCTTTATATAAAATTCAAAGCTTGTTATAAAGTTAATCTGAACATGAAATCATCTACATAAATAAAACTTACTCAATGATTCGTATTTTCTCAGACTTCCAAAATGTACAAATCAACAATTATTCTGTGTTTGGTCGTATTGGCCTTTGGCGTAATGTTTGTGTCAGCTCAAGATACACTCTGCAAACCGCCTGGATTTATTGTATGTTAATTGATCGATTTGACAAAAAAAAATTCGGTTACATTATTGATTTTAATTTTCAGTGCGCAGCTGATTCTGATTGTTGTCTTGGATTCGTGTGCAACTTATGGGCTGGACGGTGCACAAAATCAAAAATTCCAATTGTTGGAGGAGTTGGGGGAGCCGGTCCAGTTTAATTTAACTAAAAGTGTGAATAATAAACAAGTTTGATAATTTAGACCCAATGAAAAATAATAAACTTTCTGGATTCTTTATTTTATTTGGTAGATATATATTTTGATTTCTCTGAATAAAAATGACTATCAAAAAATACAAACACGTTTTTTCTTTCAAATAATTTTAATATTGGAATCGATTGAAGTGAATGGGTACAAAATATGAAGTAATGTAATTGCTAACTCCTAGTATAGCTATGTGACAAGCTCAAAAACAAGTTTTTGAATCGAGAGTCGTAGGATAATTTTATTTTGAACGAATTTTGATCATTCGACTGAACCAAATCTGCTTCTCCAGGTGAAACTAAACAGATGATAGGCCAGACCGGGTGATCAAGAGTTTTTCAAATGATAAATCATATGATTTATAGGTTTTCAACTATTAAACGAACATTTTTTCTTTAATTAAGTTTTTTTGATCTAAATTAACCTATACGGATTGCCATATTGCCTATAAAGTATGCTAGGCAAGGTTTGAGCGGTTATAAAAATCTCGAGTAAAAAAAACTCATCATATGTTTGAATACATAGATAGAACAAAATATAAATGTATTAAAATTTAGAGCTCGAATACAAAAAAACAAATTATAGAAGTGACCGATAACTAGAACTCAAAATTTAAACTTTTGTCTATTTATCGGACACCATATTCTGTGAAAATGTAATTTTTATGTTTCGATTTTTACGTTTCAAATATGTTTTAACTCGTGACGTCCAAAAACTAGCTGATGTACGATTACTAACAGTTTTATTACCCTACCTTAGTAATAAGTTTTATAAAACTGCAACCTACAAATCGAAATTTTGGCGCTACTTTTAAGCTCTTGTGCTATAAAATATTGTATCCAACCTTAGCATGAAGTACTACATGAAAACCTTGACTAATTTATTTACAAAAGTATACTTGTGTGACATTAACTTTTAACCCATTAGCGCCCAGCCGGACACTTTTTTCAACTGAACTTTAGGCAAAAATCTTTACTATTCAGAATTTTGCTAAAAATTAACGAGTTCATGTATCTAACGGGAAATTTAATGCCCTTTTCGAATATGGCTTCAAAATTAATCTTAAAATTATTGTTCAAAAGTTATAAACAATTGAACAAAAAAAAACACGATTTAAAAAAAAAAAATTGTCTTCAACTCGAATTTTAAAACAGAAACAGGCTTGATACTTAGGTCCCGAGCACATTAAAGGTGTCCATGGGATGTAAACTGAAAATCCCAATATCCATAATATCGGAATTGGACATTTTTCATAAAAAAATGGCGCTTCGTAGAAAAAAGACCGTATATGAGCTAAACCAATTTTTTTACATGACAAGGATGCATTTAGGAAAAAAAGTTATATTGAAAAAGTTCTTAGAATTGTTCAAAGAACAACCCTGAATTTTTTCAGAATTTTTGGTGAAAATTTTTGAATTTTTCGAATAATTTTGGATTTTTTGGATTTCATCATTTTCCGAAAATTCAAAAATTTTCACCAAAAATTCTGAAAAAATTCAGGGTTGTTCTTTGAACAATTCTAAGAACTTTTACAATATAACTTTTTTTCCTAAATGCATCCTTGTCATGTAAAAAAATTGGTTTAGCTCATATACGGTCTTTTTTCTACGAAGCGCCATTTTTTTATGAAAAATGTCCAATTCCGATATTATGGATATTGGGATTTTCAGTTTACATCCCATGGACACCTTTAATGTGCTCGGGACCTAAGTATCAAGCCTGTTTCTGTTTTAAAATTCGAGTTGAAGACAATTTTTTTTTTTCAATTCGTGTTTTTTTTTGTTCAATTGTTTATAACTTTTGAACAATAATTTTAAGATTAATTTTGAAGCCATATTCGAAAAGGGCATTAAATTTCCCGTTAGATACATGAACTCGTTAATTTTTAGCAAAATTCTGAATAGTAAAGATTTTTGCCTAAAGTTCAGTTGAAAAAAGTGTCCGGCTGGGCGCTAATGGGTTAAACACGAAAAAAATGTAACTGCAGCAGGGAAGGGGACGGGAGCATCAAACGATTTTTCATAAAATAAAGTAGTAAGCTAAGTATTCGAGCAAAACTTAATACTTCCGATAACGTTTTTGATGTCAAATGTGATACTGCATTTGCTCTTTATCCATATAATTTGGTTAGTTTTTACGCCAGTATTTATTGAGTATGATAAAAACTTTTTTTTTATTTGTTTTTATTGTTTTCTTTCAATTGAGAAAGCTGCTATCCAAGAATAATGTCCTCTCGTGCACCTGTACAATAATTCATAGTGGCTTATGTAGAAGAGTGTCTATGGTAAAGATCTCTCGATTTGGTTTAATCATAACTCTACAAATATCGCTAATGTCGCAGCGCGATGCTTGTCTTCCGGTCCAAGATACAGATCTGATCTCGCGAACCGCGTTCATGAGTCAACAAGCGATTTCTCTCGCTATATACACGCGTGCTACTATTATTCACGTATCAAGCGAGCTTTACAACCGAATGACTACTATCATTAAGAAAAGTGAAACGGATTGCACTATTAGGATAGCCGTTACAATTAGCATTATTGGTTTAAAAAATTGGTTATTTATTGTACTAAAGTGAACGTATTTCCAAGCGGTCAATCTTAGGTTTGGCTACCCTTAAAAATATATTTATCATACCTTTTCTTGTCGTTCATTGTTTCAATAAAAGTATGCAACCGACTTTTGTTTCAGTACATATTTCAAAAAATAAAAATCATCTTATATTTAAATAGTATAAACTGCATAAACTTATCTGAACAATAAAAATCGTAATATAATGATTTTTATCGAATTTATTAATTTTTAAAGGATTTTCATAATTTATTTATAAAATAAATGAACGGTTCTTTGAATTTTAATATATTTATATTTATTTTGGTTTTTAATTTTATAACAAATCGCTTATAGATATCTACAAGAATTTATGAGCCATTAAATTAATAAACATAAGAAAACAATTAAAATTTTAAAATTATTCAGATTGATCCAAGTTATTTATTATTAAACTTCTCCAGATACTTCTTCTTCTTCTGGCACTGGGGGAGGAAGTTTTGGTGCTGTGCATCTTCCAGCCCATAAATTACAGACTAATCCAACGCAACAATCGGCATCGGAACGACACTGGAAAATGAAGAATTTTATTGATTACTGATTAATATTATTATACAATATATTAATTTTGACAGCCATTATCAGTTTTTAATCAATTCTGATTTTTTGTACAAAATTGATTTAATAGTATTCAATCGATAGAAATAGTTTAATAGATGCTAATCAGAAAAATAGCACAACGAATTCAACTTAAAATATCTCAAAAAATTAAAGAATTTAAATGAATGAAATAATAAAAACTGCAAATATTAACTTACAATAGTTCCTCCAGGTCTGCATAGGACTGCTTCGGCGTCTTGAGCTATAGTGACACCAGCTATCAATGCAATGATGCACAGAACAATCACTATTTTTCCCATTTTGCACCTGTAAAATGCAACAATAATTGAACAATTAGATTTTAGAGATTCAATAAAAGTATCACGAGGCAATTAACACTTTGATTTCTCTCAGATTATTTACGTACGAGTTTCAAGTTTGAATGTCAAAAAGGTGTAACTGAAGGCACGATAGAACCAACTGCTGCACTCTAAAATGCTAGCTGTATTTATATGTGTTCCCATCGTGACCATTTTTTATACGATAACGCTTTCGTCGTTGGGGGCGAAAAGTACATTTTTGTTTGCATGTGATAAATTATCTATAAAAAATATTTACTCAACTACTCATTTCTCAAGTTCTATCGCTTTTTATATTACATTTTTACGGTAGTATTTCGATGCTTGACTTTTTAATTAAGGAAAAATCATAATAGTAATTTAAATTCGACGTATAGGTTTTTTAAAAATGTTCAAAATGATGTTTTAGCTCGATTCATCTTTACAACTAAATTTTATCGTGACACCTCCCACGATTCAATTGATCGTTATGACATCACGACACAAGCAGTTTAATTTATCGACATTTAAAAATTTCATTTGTTTAGTACAAACAGTGACGCATTTTCACCGGTCTTCACTATCTCTCTTTAAAGCAGTGCACTGTTTAATAATCTTTACCAAGGGTATATCTTTACCAAGTTATATTCATATGTACCTTCATTTGTATACACTATAATAATGGTGATTTTTTGTAATTGCATCAAATGGAAACATTGCAGCTACCCTTGCCTTCGCACCCTTTGTATAGAAGTACATATGCCTACATAAATCTGGGGACAAACGATTTAACGCGAACTAGTTCGGTTCTTGCGACAAACTCTTCGATGTCACTCTGCCTGCGGGAGGGTTTTAGGTACATTTCTTCTCTTAAAATATACACAAGTTTGTTGGCTAGCAGCAGTTTGAATGCAAGAGCGAGAGAGAGAGGGAGAGAAGCTGGACAATTTGATAATTGGATCTGTGGTGACGCCGTGATTTACCGTACATACGAAGCGCGGGCAAGTGCGCTAGGAGAGCTTGGTCGTCCAAATCTAGCAGCAGATGACCAGAGTCTAGCTCTGAACATGACTTTGGCTGCAGCGCACGCATCCTATATACTAGATATACTACGTGTGAGCTTCTGTGTATGAGATAGAGAGAGAGAGAGAGAGAGAGAGAGAGAGAGGAAGCGAGAGAGTGAATTGCTTCATCCAAAAGGGGAAGCTGCCGTGCCACAGACGTATTCTGGCGCTTATATAGTAAAGAGAACTTGTGCGTAGTGCAACGATGCACACGCGAATGAATGTTCTCCTAGGTACGTTTAGGTACACACACGCAGCAAAAGCCTTATGTGTATACGTACACGCAGAGGAAGGTTGAATTTGGCTTGGGTGCGAATCGACCGAAATGTATGGGTCCTACTTCGACTGTACGGATACTCTCTCTCTCTGTGCGCAAAGTGATAACGCATAGGTCCATATCGAAGTGCATTTTATTATTGAGTTACGATCCGCAGGATGCGCCGCCGCTGGGATGTCTGGTCCTGCCGATGCTCACGCGCCAGGCAAAGACTTTGATGTAAGCTCGTCAAGCTCGGAGATGAATGTGCCTGCGTTCGACCGCCCGACGCGCGAGATAGCCAATAAATGCTCTCACTGCTTAGCTTTGAACCAGGCAATGCTCTCTTGTATTGTACGCTGTGACTACTTCAGAATCGAATGAAAGATCAAATAGTAATTACCGCGTTTACCATATGGAAGAATTTGTCATTATTTCAGAAATTACAATTATCTTGTTTTCTCTTGTTTAGTTTTTTTTTTAATTTTTTGAGAGTTAAAATATATTTACGAATATTTTACATAGAATGTTGATAGCAAAATTAATGTCATTAAAATCTAACTAGTATATTTAAATTCGAGTTAACTTTTATGAATGATATTCGCTTGTGAAAAGAAAACATTTAAAGTTTAAGCTTAGTAATTGCTAAGAAAAGACACGCAGCATCATATTAAAATTAATTGCTCTTATGTATTCGTCGCGCAGCGCTTTTGCTAACGACTGCGAAAAAAATTCTTTTCTTACATTCAAAAAAATTTCTTCATCGCTCATCCGTAACGTTGCTAAGTTTTTCCTTACTAATTAACCAGCCCCAAGATCGTAATACGCAAACTGCACATTAATTTTTTCACCGAATAAAGTTAAGTTGGAAAAATGAAAGGAAGCGAAAGTGTAAATGTACTCCTCAAAAAGAACTTGCAGAAATCGCTAATTAATTAAATGCGCCCAATGAAAGAGCTTGACGAGTCATGTGATTCTTTACGTCGTGGACAGAAACATATTTATTCTAAAGCATTTTAATTTATATTATATCAGATTGAAAATATTTAGATTATTAAAATGTTTATGACAAGTACAAGTCTAGGAAACTTTTATCTTCTCACGAGAATAAAACTGCAGTCTTATTAGCTGCGCCGCTAATGACATCTTTAGGGTAATTTGACAACTAAAACAGCTCGCGCTCACATTACCCGCGTACTGTTGGCACGGGCTCATGTATAAATGCAAACATACGCGCAGGGTGAGCTATATATAGCGCAGAGACGTTCTGGGTACAAGTCGATAATAATGATTCCTACATTCAAAGTTCGAAATAAATATCTGTTTGTTTTACTACTTCGAACATCAAGTACATTCGACAAATTAAAAATTAGCAATCATTAATTTTATCGATTCTTTTCAAATCTTCGATCGATTCAAATATCACCATTTCGTGAAAACAGTAATAAAAAAAAAATTTAACGCGAGAAGGTTGACAATAAGATACGTGGATAATACAATCACAGTGAGATAAAATGCGCATCATCGCATACATAGTCACATCTCATACGCGTGACGCATATGCGATATAAAGCCCTAAAATACAGACATATATTTAAAGATCAAAACATCGTTGAAAGCAGCAGTGGTAGAGCCAGTAGCAGTAAGCTGAGGGGTAGGTAGAGGTGGCCGTCCAACACGAGGAAGGAGAGAGCGCAGATTAGATAAAACAACGAAAGGATCGCGTATAGGAAATGTTGCAGCAGAAGCAGCTATATCTAGATGTTAGTATGGTAAAAAACGCGTCCACGGAAATAATCGCTGAGCGAAATAACGAGTAGTAGTACAACGAGAAGCGTAAACGCGAATATGCTTGGGTACCTTTGCGTGCACGTGTGTGCGGCTATGTACGTAGCCTCTTCTCTTTTTTCTCTTTTTCTCCCTTTCCCTCCGATATATACTCTCGTTTATCCAATCGATCGAGCTGAAAATTTCCAGCCCTTGATTAAGATCGCAAGGGCACTTGAGTTTTCAATCAAAACAGAAGCTAGAACGTATTCCCCTCTCTGCCCCGCTCGTTTCTATTCGCTTCGACAACAATCGTCACTAGTACTGAATTGCTATTATTTTCAAATTCAATTTTTCACCTATTCTACTGTAACTATGTATAAAAAAAGCTTACATTTTAGGAATAAATTATAAGTAACCATATGTAGATTAATATATAATTAACACATAAAATCAATAAGTTAGACCATTATATCCTTATTATATCATTTTTATAAAGTTGAAGAAAACTCTACTTGGCATTTTTAATTTTTTAATCTTATTCGTAAAATATTTTTACTATTTGATCTCATCAATTTGCTCACGCAATTATGAGCATCAAAAACACTTTAGTGAATCTAAAGTGGGTATATCTTTTTTTGCGACATACACGTTGAATGAGTAAATGTGAATCAAGGTGCACAAAACTGGTTACTCTTCTCTTAATAGCTAGTAATATTTACAGTATCCGAATGAGTCATATTAAAATTATTCACTTTGAAATATTCATGAACAATAATAGCGATGATGATTTCATTTTCATTTATTTCTACCGATGAAGCGAAAAAAATTCCGAAATGTAAATGTACCACTCAAAAAAATGTATCATTGTTATTCAAGTCCAGCTGCGTATGGGCTTGAACTTTTTGTTATTAAATAAAATATTCCAGAGACTGTTGGTAAGTTGTTTCCACCCATTAATATTTGTTCTCCTTTGCACAAACCTAATCTAAAACTTAAATAATTATTACACTTGACAGCGTAAAATCCCACTTTTGACGTGATAGATTCTGCGAAGAACTCATAAGATCTTAGATGAGAACAAATGCCACCAAAATCAAAGTAACATCCCGGTTGTTTATATCCACCATTTGGATAGAAATCAATTGTTCCAATAGCAGATAAGTAACCAAGCAGACCCCCATTTGTATGAATAACTTCAACAATGTTAGCGTCAGTTTTCGACAGTCTACTTCCAGTTTTTGCAAAGTGAAAAAGAGGTAAAGCTGGATCCAAACCTGATTTTGATAAAACCAATTTTTATACAAATATGTGTAAAGAAATCTTTAAATTATAAGTATGGACCTACCAACAATATAATTTACTGTATTCTTAGTATAATATCCAGCTATTCCCATCACGTGAGCTCCCAATGAATGCCCAATCAGAGTAGTCGTGTTGAGATTCATACCTTGAACTTCCAGAAACTCTAGTACTTTTGACACGTAATTTCCTACTGATACTACTTGGAAAGCAGCTAAGGTATAAAGACGCATTGAAATACTACTCCAATCAATAACAATTATGTTGTAATCTCCACTCGTTACATAAGCTGAAGAAGCATTTAAAGAATCTTTATTAGAAAAACGCATTCAAACTATTCACCATAAATCTGAACTATTACATTATATTTTGACACAAACCATCTCTGATTAATGAACAAGATTCACTATTCATTGAATTAAACCATCCGTGGGTGATAATTTTAGTTTCTTTTTTTGGATCAAATGTGCTATTTTTTAAAGATTCTAAGTCACCGTAAAAAAACTGTTTATATACTTTTAATTCTTTGTCATACGTATAAAATAGTACTTCCGACTGTATATCCTCAAAAATTCTCATGGGTCCTATAGATATGTCAAGCGTGGCTTCAACCGCATGGCCTCTATCATCAGCAAACCACACTCCTTCTATCGAATTGAATAATTTAATATCTTCTTCTGATATCATTTCTTGTATATTAGCAAATGAATTGACTTGAGGGTTACTTGATGCTAAAATTTTAATTTAATCAATTGAAAGAAAGAAAATTCATAATCACACTACGTACCATTGCGCACAATTAAGAGCAGAAAATTAATAACAAGCCAAACGAACATTATGAAGTCCGTTTCAAATTACTTCGTAGTCTTGATGAAGTTATTGATTGACATCTACTTTTATAATATGATACAATAGTAATTGAATAGTTTAAATGATAAGATAAGATTATTTATATAAAAATAACATTTTTATTTGTCAATAATTTAATGTTCAAAATGAAAAGATATTTTTCTTATTTGCAATAAAATTTTACTACATTAATTTTTTTCGAATGTACAATTAATATATATTCATTTGAAATTCGCGCTACATCGTTCAAAGGTATGCATGAGTTTGCTGTATGTGTGTATCATAAGCAAGTTTACTCGCGCGTTATCAGCGAAGATACGTAAGACCGTAAATGAACAATGAATTTTTTGCGCACGCGCTTAGTTTATCACAAGCTACAGCCGAAACAAAGTTCTCGTAAATAATAATAATTGGTTCTATCAATTTTTTATGTTTTTTTAAAATAATAATTATGGTTTTTATGTTTTTTTTAATCATTGTATATTTTAAGTAAATTTAAGATTTCTGTTTTAATTACTGTAAGTTTTTAGGACAAATACTTTGCTCGATGACAATATTGGTGACCAAGTTAGTCTAATTTTAAATAACCTATCAATTTTAATTTTAATTTGTCTATTTTTAATTGCAATTTAAACTTTTTATCAAATATTTTTTTCAAGTGCCCTAACATTATAAACATAATAGTTACTATTTTCAGCTTTCTTAACATAAATAATTAATTCATCATTTCATTTTTTTACAAATCAGTTTTTCCTAATGCAAAAGGCTCGCTATCTCTTGTTTTTAGATAATATATTCCCTGCTCTATATTTTTAGTGAATAATCCACCCATTAACGCTGGGGCTCCGTCACATTTTTCTTCATTCAGTTGTACTAAATCTTTGCACTTACGAGCCCAAAATTGATTATTTGCGGTAAGAGATTCAGCGAAATATCGATACGACCTTGAATGAGAGCATTTATTAGTTTTACAACTAGGCTGCTTCATTCCTCCGTTAGGGTAAAAATCGTAGTGTCCTAATTGTTCTGATAAACCACAATTTTCTTTTTCTGAATGAATAACTTCAACTACTTCTGCATCTTCTTTTGATAGACGCTCTCCAACGCCCTTATGATGAAAATAAGGTCCCGCTGGATCTAAACCTGAATTTTAACATACATTTATAATGTAACATCAAATATCCTCAACTTAAAAATAACAAATACGTTAACATAAAATTAACGAATATTTTAATTAAGATTATATTGGGTAAAACAACCTACCTACAATACGTGGAACTTTTGATTCCAAATTGTAATTTGCTATACCAACTGCATGAGCACCTAGAGAATGCCCGATTAATGTTGTAGTTTTTATATTCATACCGTATGATTTTAAAAACTTGACAAATCTAGTAATATAATCTGCAACATTTGGCAATTCACTGACAACTTTGGGATAAAGTTTAGGAAAAGCACCCTTAAATCCCCAATATTGGTATGGGGACCAATCAAGAACAATGACATTAAAATCACCATTGTTCAATAAAGCTGAAATCATCATCATGTGTTACAAAATTTCTTAAAATATTTTAGTTTTTAAGACGACTTACCATTTCTAATTAAAGTACTTGAGGATGACTTTATAGAACTTTTATAACCATGAACAAAAATATAAGTCGGCTTAGAGATTTCAAAATTACCGCTAACTAAACGAGTCTCATCATTCAGAAATAATTGAAACGGATATGGAGAATCTTTTTTGAATAAGTAGGTTTTTACATCATCATCGTCAAGAACCTTTGACACATGGCTATCATGTTCTTCATTGGCATACTCTATCATAACCTAGGATCATTTATACATTTTTAATATGTTTATTTGAATGAGTTATAAAAGTATTAGAATGTTGTACCAACCTTAGAAGGATTTCCCCAAGCACAAACCACCATACTTGGAACGCCGTCGCTTAACCCGATAAAGGGTGAAATACAGAAAATAAAAATAAAGATGGAGTAATTCATGATTCTTGTCTACTAAAATCTATAAGCTATGCTGGACTGATTTCGATTTATATCCTACCCTACGCTTAATGAATAAGAGATAAGATAAAGTAGCACGTATAACGATTAAAATCAATTGGCAAGTACAGCTTGTGTCTCATTGATAAACTTTCTATGATGTGAACAATAGAAATTTGTAACCAATTTTAGAATGTGAGCTGTTATTATAATTAACCATGTAATAATTGGTAGCTGTACATGGATGCCGCTTTAGATAAAGCTGATACCACACATACTCACATTTTGCTAAAACAAATGTTTTAACAAGTTCACAAGTGACCCATAACCGATTTTTTTAAGCACTAAATAAGGCCTTTTCAAAAAATGTTTTATTAAAAATTTCAAAAGAGGATTGGAAAATGCTAATTTCTACTATAATAAATAAAAATTATTTCAACTCCTCGTCAAAGCAGTATAATGTTGAGAAAATAAATAATCTTAGAAAATCAAGTTTTATTTAATTATCAAAATAATATTGAATTCTATAAATTATTTCATCAAAATATGATACATACATTACATAAATATTTACAGTTATTTTTCATAATATACAGATGAACTTACCACTTTTTCAACTAAACCTATTAAATTCATAAATGTATTAGATTTTATTACAAAAATATATTTAATATTTATTTCAATTTACAATTTGCACGATTCACTCACTCATTGTCATTCGCACTTACTTTTAATCCATCGTATTGATAGTTTCGATCATACCTTGGATCATTCATCGTGACTTGAACACTCGCGGTACTTAAGGAACTAATGTTTTTGCATTGTCTCATATAAAAATAAGCCGAAATTGTTTTCAGCAAATAATAGTTATCTCATGCCTCTTGCGTATGGAGACGCGTCATTTGTTTGAAGATAATAAATTCCCGCTTGTGTGGCTATCTTTTTCGTCAAATCGCCCATCAGCGCTAATTCTCCAGAGCATGTACCATTTTTAGCCGATTCCAAGTCCGCGCAGCGCCGACCATAAAATCCTTTCGACGTATTTATTGACTCAGCATATAATTCCCAGGATCTAGAGTGCGAGCACGTATTACTTTTACATCCTGGTTGTCTAGAACCACCATTCGGATAAAAGTCGAAATGACCAATGGGTTCACCCATGCCACAATCGCCTTGATTTGTATGTATCACTTCGACAAAGTCAGCATCACCCGATGACAGGCGTTCGCCAGGTTTTTTATCATCAAATGAAGGTTGTGCTGGATCTAAGCCTATTGCAATTTTAAGCAAGCGTTACAGCAAAGAAAAGATATCACCGTCATCAATTTTACTCGATATATTTTGATACGTACCAACAATGTAACGAACTCTGTTGCTAGTCCTATTACCAGCAATCCCCACTGCGTGAGAGCCCAGAGAATGTCCAATAAGAGTCGTAGTTTCTACGTTCATTCCATGATTTTCGAGGAAATCAATCATTTCCGCAATGTACTGTCCAACTTCTGGGACCATCTTCGCGACCGTGAAATAATCCTTCGGTATACTGCCCCAAAGCGATTGCATATTCCACCAGTCGATCACGATCACGTTGTAATCTCCGTTTTTCAAAAAAGCTGCGAGACGTTTTGAAAAAAGACAAAGTATGATTTTTTGAACACTAAAAATCCGGCACTTTTCACAATTCACGAGTTTTAATTACCATCTTTCGACCCCGTACAGGAACCTGAATCGGCCATGTAACCGTGAATGAGTATCTTCGTCGGCCTATGATGTGCGAAGGAGCTTTTTTGAATGCCATCACTGTCACCCACTTTGATCGTCTCGCCTTCGGATTTTTCTTTGGTGTACAGGTAAAAAATAACATTGTCTCCAATCTGCTCCGATTTGTACAAGTCGTTATTGGCAACTTTGATCGCTGGCTGATAAAACAGGCTCTAAAGAACACACAAACATATGGAAAACCAATTACAACCACGCACAAATAAGCGGAACGTCAAAGAAATATAGTAGTTTATGGTATGTACTCTGCCGAGTGCACAGGAAAGCGCCGAATAAGAGCCGGTTTGGCATTTTGAAATCGATGATTGCGATACGACGATCAGCAGAATGACAGCGAGCGCGGGAAACTTCATGTTGTCAATAAGCACACACATCCATCACATTTCGTCGGCTCGCTACGATATTTATATGCACGCGCGAGCGTTCTAGCCTCGCTCCCCGCAGAACCTGCGCGCCTCTCGCGTTATGCGTGCGCGCGTGTGCGTGCGAGCCTCGTTATACGGGGCAGGAGGCGTGCAAATAACTCGCATGTATCTGAGATGCTTGAACGATAAGATAATAATAATATTGATCGTTTTGAATGAACTACCATTGCAAAAAGCCTCGGAGATAACGACGATTTTGACGTTTTTATTGTTCAATTATTATGCTAATATTATCGAGCTTATGTACGCACACACGGCGAGTTGTAAAAAATTGCGAGTAGCGCCCGGGTTTCGTAATTATTATCAATCGGCGTGATCGAATTTCCCTTTCCAAATCTTTGTCGAACTCGACTAGCCGTTATCGAATCGGTAAAGTGTTTTTTGGTGGTCAGTCGAGCTTATCAAAATAATTTCACCACTACCTAGCCAACTCGTTGAATAGACATCTCGATTAAAATAGATTAACACGTACCTGTTCCTCTGCCAAAACAAATATGCGACAACTGTGATTATTGCAATAGAATTGAAATAAGTGCAAGGAAAAGGCGACTAGCCATAGTATGCATTGAGTTCTTATGGGGTTGAGTTGTACGACTACGGGCTTTATTAACAATCATAATAGCTCTCATCGCTACATTTTTTACTCTATCGTTCGATTCCGAAATCACTTTGCAATTTTATCGAGAAAATTAACGCTCGATAAATACTTGCAAATTTTACAATATGTATCGTACTTAACTCAATCTGCATTATTAGTCTTGCAAAAGCCATTGATTATGCCAATATCGCTTTAGTAGATAATAATTATTAGAATAATCGCGTTGCATTGTTAAAATCGCGCAACGACTACTCGACTGCTCTTCAAGGGCAAAATGTATTTATTCCATTGCGAAACGCGAGAACGATCGATTATTTCCTTATTATTTAGAAAAAGATTGGAAAATTCAGAGTGAGAAAAAAGCGAAGATACACAAAGCGAGCTGCACCTGCGTTTTTCTTGCTATATCATCGCCCGAGACAGGTGTATATAAACACGATGCATATCTTTTCAACAAAAAAATGTGCGAGAGCGAAGAAGAAAGAGCGTGAAACCGATAAGGTCACGTACGCTCAGATGCCAAAATATTATGACGACCTTATGATTCCAGCTATGGCAACGGCTATACAATACGGCTGCATATCCATCGTCTCTTTCTCTCCCTTTTTCTCTTGCTCTCTATCTATCGCTCGTCGCGCTCTGCATTAGCAATCCTGACGGCAGCGAGAGCGCGTTATATATCCACCCTCGCTGCACTTGTATGCATATACGCACTGACACACACGAGCTCTCGCGTGTATCTGTGAAGGCTATATAAGACTATACAGGGAGAGTGAGCGAGAGAGAAAGAGAGGATCCGTCGACACGAACGCGAAAATGAGGGCTTCGCTCCCAACAGCAGCAGTAGCAGCAGCAGCAGCAGCAGCCCTCCTCTCGTTCGCCCGGCGCGCTCGTTGCGAATAGTGCGCGGGGTGGAAGCGGCACTGCTTGCACCGACCTACACGTACGTTTACGTGTGTCTGTATATATGCGGCGACTAGCCTCCATCGATTTGCCATGCGACGCCATCTTGCTCGGCAGGCTTCGGAGCAGTATCAGTCAGGCTGTGCTGCGGGGGCGCACACGTATACATGCGCGCCTGCATACACGCAATAGAGTAGTTGTGCGATACTAGTCGGCTCTCTCTTTCCTACGCACACAGTCGCAGCGAAGGGTAGACATTTTGAAAAATGATCCCGGGCAAAGTCATTGACGTGCACTACACCCGGCAACGCTCGGCTTCGTGCGCAGCTCGACTTTTCGTACTGCACTTTTTTTTGGTAAATTTTTTTTTTCAACGATGCTCGGCCGAATCTTTGGAATTCCTTCGTGGCTATGGTAAATCGAGGAAACCGATCGAGTTGAGAATTATAATGCCGCTATCAATTGCCATATAATGCGATAAATATAGGAAATAAACTTACGAGTTGAGGCTTTGGATCGATCCGTATTGTAATTTGTATTCCTTGAAAGTTTTTTGTGCAAACACAAAAGATAAGGCGTGTTCATTGTACCAACCGAGTTATTATCAGATGAAAAATATTATCTATCCGGAAACTGATTTTGAAATAAATTTGCAAATCCAATCGTAGTGTTTGTAATGTTAATTATATGTCAGATGTGGACTTTGCAAGCCACCCGAAAATTTTTCTCCAAACAAAAATTTTCACTTCTTATTCTGTCGTATTGATAATGAGTGAATGCAAGTAAATTTTAATCCGAAAGTCCGTGAACCAATGAAATGTTTAATTAAACGATCGAATCATAATTATTCATGGATTCTCATCCTAAAATATGTCAAAAAAAATGAATATCACGGTATAGGAAAATGTGAAAAAAGGTAAAGTCAGTGGGGAAAAAAAATCATCATCAACGCGAACGGACGCCATGACGAAAAAGTAGAGAGCCCTCCCCGGTGCAGTGTGCAGCGGCAGAGGCAGAGAAAAAGAGCCCCGATACGAGGCGCGCACTATACACGCACACGGTATATATAGGCAGACTGCATCCGCTCTAGCTCTCTTTCTCTCTCTTTTGCGCTGCAGCACGCCGTACACCCACAGATGCAGTTGCAGTGAACGGCAGTGGCAGCCACCCACCCACGGATTCACACGTTGCACCTTGCTTCCCTCGGTAGCAGCAGCAGCAGCAGCAGCAGCAGGATGCAACCCAACGAGTGCGTCGTTGGCTAGGCAGGCTTTTATGCAAACGCGCAAGCGAGTGGAGAGAGCGAGAGAGAGAGAGAGAGAGAGAGTGAGTGAGTGAAGGAACAAAAACACGCACACGCATACGTACACATACATAGTGTCGGCCGCGTAGAGGAAAAAACAACAACGAAGAGAACGAGAGAGAGTTCGTTTGTACACACATGCATAGACGCAGGAGTGCGAGGGCTTGCAATAAACAGGTATAATGGAATACGAGGTGAAGAGGGTCGCCACATTGCTGACTTCATAGTGCATTGCCTATGGCGTCGTGTGTATATACAGCCAGCTACATATATGTAGACGTGGTTATATATACACACATTTGTATGTATACGTATATACAGCGCAACAAGGGCTGGAAGAGGGAGAAAGATTTCAATCGCCTCAGCCGCCACTATACAGCACTCCAATCGCGCTAGGCGCGAACAATGGCGCAGCGACCATTCGCGACTCGCGGTCGATCGACTTTCGATTAACCCAAAAGATTTTTATTGTTTTTGTAGAGGGAGAAAGAGAGAGAGAGAGAGAGGACGACCTCATCACCCTGCCGCGTGGGCCCCCTTATATCTCACTTGGTGGTGCTCGCCGCCTATACGTGTATAGGCACCTATATACACACTCAGCGCCCGTATAGAGAGAAGAGAGAAAAGAGGAAAAAGACAGATCGATGAGTTAAATGCGTCCGGCTGTGTCGTTGCCTGACGGCGGCCCCGTGGTGGTGGCGGCGGCGACGTTTTTTAAGCGCCGCACTACTATGACTGAATGCGAGAGCGAGGAAAAAAAGAGCGAGAGAAAATATACACACACACTAGGAGCCGCTTCATTGTCGAGGATAGCCGCGTGAGAAATGCACTTACAATCCCGTCGATCGGATCCGAGTTAATGAACGCAGCCCTCCTACCCTCGCCTACTACACACGCGCGCGCGCGAGAGAGCCAGACTTTAATCACTGAGTGAGTAGCGAGCTTTGCATGCAAGCACAGGAACTTGCCCCCGCACTGCTGTTTTATTAAATGCGACGACTCGAGCGAGGCCTTTCTTTTGCAGCCTGTGACTCGACTACATTATTATATATACACCGACGAGCCAACGCTTGTTATATCGCTCGATGCGACGACGGGCTTGATTGGGGCGACTTTTTTAAGAACACGTATGTAACGCGCGCGCGAAAAGCCCGCGCCTGATTATCGTCAATGCCGCTCGTTCCTGTACATTGGCGAGAGGCTCTGCGTCGATCGAGCTAAGTGTCGAGCATTCAAAGTGCGCTTTTTTCGTGTACGCGCAGTTACGGCAACGTTATTGAAAAATTTCGAGCGTGCGTGAATATTTTGGTAATTCAAGATACCGGTCTTTGCCTTATTTTCTTTATTGCTGATTTCGTTTACGCAATTAATGATAAATTTTTTAATTTCTCGTGTATCGCTTTAATTATTTTCCGATTAAGAACATGATTTAATAAGTTCTTGTAGTCATTTCAGGATGACTTACTTTTTTCAACCATCGTTGTGAATCGTTAAATTATATAAAATAAGTATCGAAATGATTACCATTTTTATAAAGATATTTAAAAACAATTGAGGCTCAATTTTTTCACGTAACGATCAATTAAAAACGCTAGCCTACGTACGGTCGTGGGTACATTATAATCAAGCAAGGCAATAATTCGTCACCCATAGTGCGGGCGCGCACGCACACACAACGACCCTTTCATTTTCATAACCACAACCGAAAATTCTTTTGCCAGGGAAAAAAAATATCATCACCCTAAACCCCGGTTATATCCGAGCACGTATATGTACGGATATGTGTGCGCAAAGTGGGCGCTCGCTCGCTGTGTACGCATGGGTCATTTTTATACACTACGCAAAGATCGCCGATCAAACAGGCTGTTTATTGGCGACTTGCCGGGGTTATACCTGGGTGGTTGAAAAAAATTGCGGTCCACGCCAAACACGAGCAAGTTATACATCTCGCTAAAAGCTCACCGAGGGTTCGATCGAGCTTTTTTAATCGTTCAGAGATGCTGCCTCTCGTTGATAATGACCAAAAGTATTGTTCTCTGCATAAATCGTCATTAGCGATGTAAGCAGATAGACGCGCGAGTTAACGAATAGAAAATAAATAAATAAAAAGCTTCGTTTCTCTAA